TTATTTTTTTTATTTTCATGATTAACTTTTAGTATCAGGGACAAAATGGCATTAATACAAATTTTTGAAACAAAAATATTCACAAATATTTTATTCTAATTGAAGAATATAGCAATTGAAAGTAAATGGAAAATAAAAATAAAATTTTAAAATATTATTTAAAAAGAATCATGAAGATTGATTTTGTGTTTAAATCTTTCATAATAACAAGGAAATGGAATATTGAAATAAAATGTTATCATAATCATTGTGGCTACATTTTATAAGAATTATTTATTTAAAAGGAAATTATTTGTAAATTTTAAAAACTAAAATATATCAATGCTGAAATTTAAAAAGAAAATAATATTATTAATTAGCGCACGATATGCCTAAATTTTGCGTAAAAAAAAATAATAATAACACTCGCGACATTGCGCAATGGCACTGCAAAGTGAAACTGACACCAACAGAAACCAAAAGTACGCAGGCACGATCCTATCAGCACCCGCCGATCATCGCCGTTTGCCGCCGCTGTAATGATTTTTAGTGGTAAAGTTGTATGTAAAAAAACATTCAACTGTCGAAATTCGATTTTTAAAATGGTCAAACTATCGGAAGTGTCGTATTATTGATATTGTCTAATTATGGTTTGTTATTTGATAGGCCGGAGGTCGGGACATTAAAACATGGCCGAATTATCGTATAGTGTCGAATTGGCAGTATAGAGAGCTGTCTGTTAGCAGAAGCGACCGCTCATAGAGGTTCTACTGTAGTTGGAATATATATTATTGGCTGTATAGAGCCGTTTACCTACAGGAGTGACCGCTCATAGAGGTTCTACTGTAGTTGGAATATATATTATTGGCAGTATAGAGAGCTGTCTGCTAACAGGAGTGACCGCTCATAGAGGTTCTGCTGTAGTTGGAATATATATTATTGGCTGTATAGAGCTGTTTACCTACAGGAGTGACCGCTCATAGATGTTCTACTGTAGTTGGAATATATATTATTGGCAGTATAGAGAGCTGTCTGCTAACAGGAGTGACCGCTCATAGAGGTTCTACTGTAGTTGGATTATATATATTATTGGCAGTATATAGAGCATTGTACATTACATTTACTTACAGCCTCTTTCTACCGCTTCTCATAGAGTCTTTAGAGAAGTTCTGCTTCTTAGAAAGATGTACTGCAAGGGAGTCGGCAGATGACTGGTATAAATTGCCCTATTTCTGACAGCTACAACCTGGGTTAAAATCCCTCATTGGGCACTTTTTTCTGAATAAAAATTGCTCCAATAACTCTTGATTCTTGGAAAAGTCTAAGCCTGCCAGTGAGTGCAAGTAACCAAATAGGGCTCTGGCACATTTGTAAGAGCAAAAGTAAAACTGCTTTCTACAAAGGTAGACATTGGTGCACTTATGTTAAAGTGGTTGCCAACTACTACCCATCATTATCCTGGCCTGTTGTTCCCAGGTGGGCAACTACCTCCGCATGTTCCGGGGGTCCCTCTACAAGCGCTACCCTTCCTTTTGGCGCCGGATGGTGACCATTGATGAGAGGAAGAAGATTGCTTCACTCGGTAGGTGCAGGTGGTGTTTGTTTGGGTCTTGTTGATCTAACTAACCCCTCAATGGTCTCTTCATCCAATATTTCTCATTTTAGCCAAGTTTCAAGTTTTGCCAAGGATGTATTGTTTGAGAGTTCTGCAGTTGTGTCATCAACATATAAAATCTGTCTTAAACTGCTGGCACTCAAGAAACAAGAAAAAAATGTGAAAAAAAAGAAATAGTACAAAAGTCAAATTATAATGTGAACAAATTAAGAGAAAGGCATCTCTTGATCATGCAACTAAAAGTTGCTGATGGCTTGCGCCATCTGTCGGAAGAAACATCAACTAATCATTGATTTTTAATTATTATATTTAATTTGGTCTCAATTATGGAATAATTAAAAATCAATGATTAGTTTATATTTATTCCAACAGATGGCTTGAGCCATCAACTTTTTGTTGCATGATCAGGAGTGGCCTTTTTCTTATGAAAAAAAAAGTTGGCTAGCCCATGTATGTGGCTGCATAACCCAACAATTAAAATAATGTATATACTATAGGTAATTACAGGCCTATGTGGTTTTGGTCCTATACAACCATCATTAAAGACATGTTTTACTACACTTCTGTCTATGTTCATTAAAATTATTGACTTAAAAAAAATCTCAGAACAAAAAATATAAATTTAAATGACTAAATGATAAAGCACAATTTGAATCATTGACTATAAACACAAGGTAATAAGACCAAATCCAAATAAATAGGGTGTGACGTTTCGTTAACAGCATTTATTTGGATTTGGTCTTATTAACTTGTGTTTTTTAAATGACTAAATACATTTCTAGAAAATAATAAATGTCAGCTTGTTATAAAAGTGGTTTGGAACCACAAGGTATAATTAATGATTTCTTTGATATTTTGGCTTCAAACCAGTCATCATGAAGATATTGTAGTTTTTAAACATGTGAAACTCAAATGTTGTGTTCAGTTGAATACATATGGTTCCTTATGGAAAAAAAAAAAAAAGAAAGCTGAAGACTATTTGCCCTGTATAGAGAACATCTTAGTTAAAGAGGTCTCTATAGAGAGGTTTGTTGTGTTTATATATTTCTACCTGGATTGGAGGGGGTGGGGTAACAAGAAGTACTTAGATAAATGTAGAGAATAGTGAAAAATTATCCTGTAAAATTATGATAATTAAAATGTGCTTCTTTAATATAGTATTGACCATCAACTAAATTGTTATGTTTTAAGCAGACTATTACACAGAGTTCATCATAGAGCCACAATGCACATTTTGTCAGCCATTGTGACTTGTTTGCCAAATCTTGGTATAGGGATTTTAAAGAACCTAAATAAGTTCTGCCTTTTTTATTGCTAATTTTGTGTAAAAGAAATGCCGAGAGAGGCACCATCAGCACACTTATACTTCTAGTAGTTTTTTGTAAAGAGAACTAAGGAAGTTCTCCTTCTTCACAGATAAGTTGGGCTCTTCATCATTGAGGTAGTAATCACCAGCTTCAATGTCTTTCTCTGCCAATAGAAGCTGAAATCTTTGCTTCAATAAATTATAATCCTAAAATCCTCACAATCCCCTCCTAAGAAATATAAAAGGGACATAAATATGAAATATCAGCTAGATTTATGCTTTCTTTATAGTTGAAGACTCATAAGTTCCTCATTGTTGCTGTTGTTAAACAAATTTTAAAGCATTTCCGCCTCTAATTATATGGTAGTGGAGTATAAGATAGTTGTTAGTGCTCACCCCCCACATCAATTTACTCAGTTTCATGTCTGCTAATAATAATGGAATCTCTGTTTCTCTGAAGATATCCTGATGAAGAGAGAAACCCCAGACTAAATAAAACTTTATAAAAGGAATAACCTATAGCAATAAATCAACTAAATACTAAAATTTCTATTGGAAAAATGATATGGCAAAGATAAGATAAATGAATTTTCAACCAAAACACTAGGTTTCATGGAGCTACACCAGTCATCAACTATGAAGAGAATTCAATGATAGAATGTGGCCAACAAAAAATAAGCCATAGAATTGCTGCTACCTTTAAAAACATAATATTCAAATGAATAAAATTCAATAATAATCTTCTTTCTTATCCTTTACAAACTGGATGGTGTAGTGGGGAGTTTTCTTCCAAACATAGTAGTTGAGAGGGTTGGAGGGTTGCAGTCTGGGGAGTAAGGTGCCAAATTTTGGGATTCTAGTTGCTGGGACATTGTCAGTCTTGTCAGTGTCTTCTTTGTCTTGTAGGCAGAGCTGAGTCCTGTTGGAAGACATAATTCCTTCCTGTGGCCACCATGTTCATCCAAGGCTTCACAATGGTTTGCAAGACACTGATGTAGGTATTAGCGTTCATCCTGAGGTATGGAAGGCATGACATCATCCTGCTACTCTTGACACCAATACAGAGGCAGTTTGCATCTAAGGGGTTTTTACTGAGCCAAAGATCATTTCTGATATTTGCCTTTTGGTCCTGGTCAAAGTTCTTTTCCTCAGAGTGGAACCTAGTTTCAGGTCATTGAGGGGGGAAAGAGCCTTTATTTTTCTGTTTTTCCTCATAGTTTCAGTCAGCAACTGACCTTTCTGAAGGGCATAGGATTCCTCATGGAAAGTTATCACAATTTTCATTGAGCCCATTTCCTTGGCTATAGCCCTCATGCTCTTCTCAAGGCCTCTATCAATCTTTGACATTTTTACAAAATCTTGTACTATCCTTTACTATTGTATTTCTTATTCTTGTTCATTAATACTCAGCTACACATTTATACTGTTACACTTCACATGAATATCTATGTCTATGGATAGAATAAAAAGAGAAAAAGTCAATATAAAAATTTTACAATGATATAATTTGACACAATAACTTCAGCCTATCAAATAACAACCGTTAATTTGATAGATTTTTTAAAATCCAATTTCAACAGCATTAGATATTTTCTTGTTTAAATACAAATTTATTTTTAAAATACAATACTTTGGCACATGGGGTACAGTGGTCGGAGTATGCACACAATGCCTTGTAAATATCAGCGCAGAATATGTACAATTTTTGTTTACTCTTATGGACAATTGAGACCTAACTAAAGCTACTGCTAGGCACCGGTTTAAACAATTAGATGTCTTGATAAGGCACAATTCGGATTATAGATTATAAACACAAGGTAATAAGACCAAATCCAAATAAATAAATAGTGTGTGACGTTTCGATAACAGCGTTGTTACCATCTTCAGACAAAAGTACTGAAAGAGAGTACTTTTCATTCAGTACTTTTGTCTGAAGATGGTAACAACGCTGTTACCGAAACGTCACACACTATTTATTTATTTGGATTTGGTCTTATTACCTTGTTTTATAAAAAAAAATCTTTAAAGATAATTTTAAAAATATATAATTCTGGACTTTTTACTTTCTTTTCTTCTTTCTTATCTTAAAAGAAAAAAGCGAGCCTGCCAGGATTTAAACCTGGAATCTTCTGATACATAGTCAAACGCGTTATCTGTTGCGCCAGCTTTCAAAATTTATTCAATCTTTCCCCCTTGCATTTATTCACTTAGATTAAAATATTAATTGTAATTTTTTCTTTGTTCAAAAGTGTATGAAGGCAATTTTATCCATCACTAAAAGTTAATCATGAAACATTCTAAAAAAAAATTGAATAAAAATTCCAAAATAACTTTATTAGGTACCGCTCAAAAAGAGCAACTTAGCTTATGTTATTTACAATCATCAATATGAACAAGGTTCTTTAAATATATAAAAAAAAGTGTCAATGCGGGATTCAATCCCGATTCATGGCTGTCAGAAACCAACGGTTTATACCACCGGCCACCAACCTTCAATTTAAATAAAAATTCCCAATGGTATCATTCACATTATTAATTAAAATACACCTATCCCCCGATTTACACGGTAGATACGTTCCTGAGAAAAACGTGTAAATCGGGGGATCGGTGTACACAGAAATAAAAATAAAATGCATTGACAGGTTAAAATATGTAGTCAGCACATAAGCTCGGGATTCCTCGTGAGATATGTACACAGCGCATGTGTTCAATCACAGTAGCATTTAGTATAGTGCGATAAAAACAACAAAAAAAAAACTTATTTGGAAAACCGTGTAAAAGCGAAAACGTCTAAAACAAGTACCGTGTAAATCGGGGGATAGGTGTATATTATAACAGTATTTCTAAAAATATTATTTTAATTATACATTTGGTTGTTTTAGAAAAATGTCCACTAGTAGTAAATGTTGTGATGAAATCATCTAACTATAAGTCATCAGAAAGCTATGATCCATAGGATGTCGAATTAAAGAAGTTAGACTGTTTATTACAAAAGTATTTTCTAGAAAATATTCACTAGCAGAGAATTTTTTGATGAATTTATAATCATCTTAACCTACTTGTATTCAACTCCACTTTAAATCAACTGAAAGCCCAAATCCCTATTGTGTTTCTTTTCGCCTATATCATCAAATATCTCTACAGACCTTACTGCAATGATAAATGCTGTTGAAAGAGAGGGTTCACCACTGATGAGCCAAGCTCTCTCGTTCAACAACTTTTATCCTTGCAGTAAGGTCTGTAGAGATATTTGATGATATATGTGAAAAGTAACACATTGCCAAAAATTGTTACAAATAATCTTTTCTTGTTTTTTGATCATCCATAGATAATTCCAATTTACCCACTCCACCACCCTGTCTATGTGTGAATTATTTTTAAAACTAGGTTAAAAGTTGTATTGAGACGCACTACCAAAACTTTAGCTGTTGTTGGTGTGCTTGCTTTCGCCACAGTTGCGTTTGCAGGTAAGATTTTTTTTCTCATTTTTATGTCATGGATTAAAAGTTTCCATGTATACCTTTTAAAATGCTCCTAAAAATATTTCAAACAAAACAAGACTTTTGAAACTTTCTTTAAATATATCTTATACGAGGGCCATCCAATAAACAAGTTTCCCTTTTTTTTTTCTGTGAACGAAACGTTGTAAAAATCAGTTAGTAGTGTAAGAAATGGTCACTAGGATGCGTTGGAAGTGCATGACCTTCAAAATCACGCTACTCGTACACGCAAGTCCGTAGCGCTTCAGTTTCCATGGAGCTACTACTGGTGAACATGTCCACTTGTGAACAACTTTCTGTAATTCGTTTTTTCACGGTGAAAAATGAAACCTGGTCAATATTCATCGCAATTTAGTGTCAGTGTATGGTGAAGGATGTATGAGCATCCAAATGGTTCGCCGATGACGTTCATGGTTCTTGGAAGGACGGCAAAACGTGCATGATGACGAGCGAAGTGGCGGTCCCGTTACTGCTACAGACAATACAGCCGTTGCTGCTGTTCGGAATGTGGTGGAAGCAGATCGCCGCGTCACCATTGATGAACTAATGATTCGACTGCCTCCTGAAATTGAAATTGGACGCTCTTCGATTGGAACAATCATGTCAGATGTTTTGAATTTTTGCAAAGTCTGCGCAAGATGGGTCCCGCGTTTGCTCTCGGAAAATCACAAGCAACATCGGATGGAGGCAGCCCAAGCTTTCCTGGAAATGCGTTGAAGAGATGGAGATCAACTGTTTTCCCGTATTGTCACTGGAGATGAAATCTGGGTGCATCATTCAACTCCAGAAACAAAACGACAAAGCATGGTGTGGAAGAAGCCTGAGGAAAGTGCACAAAAAAAGGCGATGGTCACAATCTCTGCAGGCAAAGTTATGACTATCGTCTTTTGGGACTGTAAGGGTGTTTTATTGGTTGACTACCTGCCCTCAAACACTACGGTTAACGCTGCGAGGTACTGCAAAGTCCTCACTAAACTCAGAGCTGCAATAAAATGGAAACGTCCTGGACTTTTGTCTCGGAAAGTATTACTCGTCCATGACAATGCTCGCCCTCACTCAGCTCGAACGACCCAAACGTTGCTGGAAAACTTCAAATGGGAAATTTTCACACATCCACCTTATTCTCCGGAACTTGCCCCAAGCGACTTCCATCTTTTTCCAGCACTCAAGTTGCACCTTGGAGGCAAGCACTTTGCGAATGATGACGAAGTGCAGGTGGAGGCGAACCACTGACTACGAAGACAGGACACTGCTTGTTACAACAATGGTATCAAAAAAAATTGGACAGAAATGGTGATTATGTAGAGAAGTAGTCTATGAGTTGTATAATGAAAATAAAATAACTGCATAATTGTAAATAATGTTGTTTATTTGTTAAAAAATAGAGAAACTTATTTATGGGATGGCCCTCGTATTTTTATTTGAATGTGTAAGGTCAAATAGACCCCATTCTACTGGTTCCATTACAAAACCAAATTTTATTATAACCCATATTTTTGCATATACTTGTTTAAATTATTATCTAATTAAAATAGAGAGGTTAAATTGCATTTTTGAATATACATTACCGTACCAAAACTTGATTCTGTATTGTTGTGGTAAGTTTGCTTTGGCCAGTTGTGTGCTCTTTGCAGCTTTTTTTTAATTAATTCATTTGTCATGGATAAAAATATAAATAAAATAATTGATGAATCCTTTGAGGATGACTCTGCTACTGAAGTTCATTAGAGTTGAAAAGAAGTCTGTGCAACAATAAACATGACTCTGAAACACATTATTTAGATTCCTTCAATGAAGATGAGGATTGTGCTGAATAAATTGAAGAAAAACTGGACTTGTCTAAAGAACCCCCCTAGACCAAGAACTAAAGCTGGCAATATTGTTATTTGCAAACCAGACTAAGTAGACATTAAAAATATACTAATTGACACCTCTCATTTATTTATAAGCATTGATATTGTAGGACTTACCAAAAAAAAAATTTTAGCAATCCAAAAATGAAATATATTAGAGACAATGTATGTCATATCTGAAAACTTTACAGTATCAAATAATATACATTAGAACCTCCATAAAAGAACATTTTTCATTGCCAAAATTAACATTATTGCTAATTAGCACCTCTCCCTAAAGGACACTTTGGCTTTGCAAATAGATGTCCCTTTAAGGTAAGTTCTACTGTATTTGCTAATTCAAAAGAAATTCTCAGCAGGTCCCAGATGAAACAAAATAGTGAGGAAAGGAACATTTTCAGTGTAGAAGTTCCCCTACAAACAAGACAAAACTAGCAGTCGGCAGATGTGAAGGGGGGAAAGTTTCTGGATGAGATATAGCGACAGAAGGGTCAAAAAAGTGCTCCTGTCCATGCTGCCATCATTCATTGTAAAAGAATGCTGCGCCCACAAAAGCTTCCCATTGCAGAAAGGAAAGTCTTGCAACTTGACAACTCCAAATATACAAACTGATCCATAGACTGCTGCAATCCAAAAACAGGTCTACTCATGGACAAAACTAAAGGAAGTTATACCTTTTAGCATGTATATCGGGATTCGGACAATAACTCCGAAAGATATTTGATACACAATGGCCTTCATGTCGCCTTAAAAAAAAAAAAAATAGATTACCAGATTATCAAAGGCTTTCCACTTCCTTACGTTTTATCCATGAGTATAATAGTCTTTCTAGAATATGAGTACTCTTCTTTCTTCCACAAATCCCAAAATATCTTTGGCAATTCATGGCTCTTAGGGTTGGATATTTTCTCAAGCTCAAATGCCTATTGGGCTTCCACAAAAATTGAGCATTGGTAAAAACATTGTTTTTTTGAGAGAGGATTTGAGAAGGTTAAGGAATCTCATTCTTTGGCAACAAATGCTGAATGCTCTGCCTCAAATGCCATAATGTACTATGCCCAAAACCTTTCCTATAACAGCATGTACCAATTGTAAATATAATATTTGAATTTCATGCTTTAGAATAATAAATATGTTCCTTTTTTTTTTTTCAAATGTCTTTTGTGGTTATTTAATTAATACAGTTGAACCTAACTATAAAAACATCACTTGGTTCCAATATTTTATGTTGCTGTTTCTCATGTTGCTCTTATTACCTTTGTTAAATCATTTGAAACTTGGTTTCATAGATTTGTGATATTATAACCTAGCTGAAGTTATAAAGTGGTCTGTTATAACCCTGGGTAAAGCAATTGAACTTACATCTTGGGACCATAGAATTGTGATGTTATAACCAAGCTGCTGTTATATCAAGGTTCCACTTTAAATCAAATTTCCTGACAAATATTTGATGTTCAATTTGGGCACATATAGACCCCATGTTACAGGATACATTATTTTAACTGACACAGGTTGCTTTTTAAGCACATTTTAAACCACAGCTTGCTTATGTGTGTGTGATTTTGAAACTATTTTCTATCTACAGCTACATTTGAACTTCCATGAGAGGTCACATCTCTTCAAAAGACAGTTTTCATTGCCAAAACTACCATTTTTATTAATCATCAACTCTCCCGTAAAAGGATACCTCACTTTAAAGGGCAATTTAGCTCTGCAAATAGGTGTTGTCCTTTGGAGAGAGGCTTCCCTACTACATAGGGAATCAGCCAAGATTTTCAAACCAAATTTATTCATTAATTGAACCTCCCATGTG